TCGTGGTCAGCGAAAGACGGAGGAAATGATCTATTGTTCGCTCCACTAGTTAACTGTGAATTGAATAGTGAAATTATGATAATGTTCAGTGGGAAGAACGTTGTTATGGAAGGTTAATGTTGACGTTTCTCATGAAGAATGAACTAATTTGTGCCAGGATTTATATGCTCATACAAATTCACCTACGTGACACAGAATTCTATAGATGTTTTTTTCTTCTATTCAGAATTAACATATCTGGACTCATGTAAGTCGTTTCCCGCTTTGCAAAACAAGTGACCAATTCTTCGTCTCTGAACGTTACCCAAACCAAATTAGTACAAAATTCTGCCTTCATTCATTTTTCTAGAATACCGCGGAAGCTACAATCGTTTCCTGGTATACATCCTTGTTCAAAAGTCTGACAGTTTGAATAAGTAAACCACATCTGACTAAATATTTTACAGCTGGAGAAAACGCCTGTCCAGACCAAAGGGACCCGATCGTTGATAAGGTGTCTTGGTGAGAGTGGGTGGCATCTTGCACACCAGATAATTTCACAAAAATATAAATCTCCCGTCATTGAGTAGTCTGCTTTTGCTACATACTATCTTGGTGTGGCCTCGGTTTTTTCATCATTTGTCATGCTTCAGTTTGACTTCGCAGAATAAGAACCTTCTCTAAAAGTCGACTGCTGTATCTTGATCAGCTGAAGTTGAGGTACCTGCCAGACTGAAGTCTTTATGAAAAGACCGCGATATTTCGACACATGTTTGCTCAACGAATCAATCTGTTGTGAATTCATGGAACTAACCTTAAAATTGGTCGATGACGGTAACACCGAGACTTCTGGTCCCGCATTCCACCGATATTCAGCGGTCCTGTTGAACATTACTCTCACTATGCTATCATTCTTACAGATCCGGTGACAGGAAAGATTTACTGATGTGTCTGTTGTTGTTTTTTATCGGATTTGTTGGGCCGCTGAGTTTCACACGTATGTTTTCATGCCGAAAATCGTCACATCTCAGAAATTATTCCACCTCGATGAAAAGCTATTGATGAAACACCTTTAAAAATCAACTACCCCATCAACTCAGTGACGGCAAACAGTGATTTGTGAAGAAGACAACGTCAGGGCCTTAACTTATCCATTTTGGTGGAAAAGAGGGATCACTTGAGAGAATCACTATCGCCTCAGCTGTTTCAAGCTTTTGCCCAAGAAATGTTCAACAGATCTTTCGGTTCCCCGCATAGATTATTGTAATGGCACGACCATTTGTAGCAATTGAATGTCAGACGTTAGTGTTTGCCACATGTTTGACTGCTCCTGATTTAAACCAAATCGCGTTCCTCGCACTTGTTAGGTAGAATATTCTCACCTGAATGATTATATAACCCACTAATTTGCTCCCTTAGCTGTCAGCGAAGGGGACATCAGTTGACACGCACTTTATTCAGTAATTAAAAGCCTCATTGTTGATGCTAACAGGATAGCACTACTGATTGGAAGCATTGGTACGTAGATGTCTGCTTCGGTTTCGAGATGCGATTAATCAACACATCTAAAGTTTTCTTCAAAACCAAACAGAGATTTCAACTAATTAGCCCGGAGGCTGTGGACTTCTTTCCTAATGCAAATAAACAGTATTCCTCCCTCAGAATTAGTTTTAGCTGGACCCTGAGGACAGACCTGATGAGAGAAGAACAACGTATCAAACATCACACACCGAAATCGGAATAGACCTTGGTGGTTATAAACGTTCTCACTCAACGGACAAGAAAAGATTTTATGGTTAGTATCTGTAAATTTCCAAAAGCGCCTACCTTATCCAGGACGTGGATCATCCCTAGCGGCTGAATGAAATCGAATAAACACCGAAAGTCTGGATTTCGTACAGAATGTGATTCACGTATCATACTAAATGCACAGCGTTAGAAAAACATAATTCACTTAAATTATTCAGATAGGGCCTTTCATCGTGCACACTAGTGAAGCACATTCACTTAGCATGAAATAAACTGTGCGGCATAAAGCAGTGCAAGCTTCATGATTTGTTTTCTAGCCGCTATATTTCAAACGCTTATTCGCCCATCACACGAAATTCCCAACAATAAATTGCTTCTATGCGCCACAAGTGCTAATTTATAATTAACTCTTGCGAAATTTCGTTTTCCATCTGTTGATCCGTTGTTTTTCACTGCAGATCGACTTCAACTAGACGAACGTAGTGAGTACATGGTGAAGAAATGCACTTCTAACACGTACAGAAACACCATTTGCTCGTACATTTACGCTCCTTCTCCAAACGCCCGCCACTTTCAATATCTCCAGATGACCACAATGCTCAGTGACCTGATGGAGAAACTACACTGTTGCAAGCACCACCATACTGTTCTATATTTTTAAGGAATTTCAGCGAACTTACTTGGTTGTACCGAAGTGCCATCATAGGTTTTCCAAGAAGGGCTTTGAACAAGTTGTAGCTGTAAATCACCTCTAGTTTCGTATGTAGCTAACCCCTACCTGACTTGGCTACAATGCGCTTGATTTGATTTTCCATATGTGAAATAATTGTGAAAACTGTCAAACCTTCCAAAGTGGCCCCAGATTAGGATGTCTCCGTTAGCATTCGGAATAGCCACATAATCATAGTTCGAAAAATTTGGATAACACAGTTACTGCATACACCGTCACTTCTAATGGAATAATACGTGTTAAGTTTCAGCCGTGTGTCTGTTGGAAGGTGTTTAGTGTGGAAACGCATTTTTTGGAAGCAACTGAGACCGCTAATTCGATTAACAACAGAAGTGAGATAAGTGGCAACGTCGTACTGAATGCTACGCGCATACACAACGAATCTCTTACTTAAGATAAAAACGCTTACTTGCAGAAAGGAACCGTATCCCTTTTACTCAGTCCCCAACCATGTATTATATTTAGCTCTTTAACGTGCGATAGTCAGATCAAGCTAACATACTTGCTGTGTACCGCAGATTACGGTCGAATGAGTAAAACTTGTGAAATGTATTTTTCATCCTTTAGTGAACTACAGTACTGCCATAAGTGAAAGAACCAGAAGTGAGACAGGTTTCTTTGTGAATTTTGTTGTTTTATTTGAAACTGAAACTTATCAGTAGCGGTATTATGCTGTTTCGATATAAACTTGTTGCATAAAAAGAACCTATTTTTGAGCAGTACACCGAACCCACGAGAATTTATTGTAACAGCAGTTGTCCAAATGCCTCGTAGACACCATGACAACAGTATATAGGTTGGAAGTCCCTTATTATACAGCAAAATACATTACGTGTTGGCGATTCTTAACTGATCTCTTAGTGTTTCTGGATTCTTCATATTTCTTCATCGTTGTCAGCTTGTATGAAATTCTGTTAGTTTGACAAAACCCATGTAATGCACCAGCGAATCACAACTGGAAAGAATTACGGCCTTGAAAGCGGACACCTGAAAAGAAGTAAAATACCCCATTCTATCGATTGAAAATTTTGTATTCCAACGTCGGTACGTGGAGTGCTTTTTAATGGTACAAGTGAACGGAACGAGGCCAACTGAACAGTTACAGACGATTGGATAGCAAAGCAAGACTCTCATAGGCATCTTGTTTACAAAACTGAATATCCATCTTCTCCTTGAACGCGTCTTCCTGAACTTTCCTGGGTATTCATTGAATCTTACTAAAATGCAAGCAAATGCGACAAAGCGGCTTCACAAATTCCCCTAATAGATCTCACTTTTCAAGAGAGGTGAAGCGGATTTACGAGCAAGCACCACTCGCATGTCTCATCATTAGTATCCACCGTTACACTAGTACCACGGCAGAAAAGCAACTGACCGTTGAATCTCAGGTCATTTTTGGAGTCCACAAATTGGATGCTTTCGAACTGGGTATCAAATTTCCTGGCATAGCATCAATAGCCAAGTGCATCAAAAACCCACGCATAATAGTTAGCGCACTAGCACGGATTTTGGGCCACTGACCAACATAGTTTTTTCTTGAATAGTAAATAAAGAGAAGACATTTTTACAGGGTCCCTCTGCGTCACCTCAATAGGCTCTCTACTCTTCTCATAGTAAACTTGCGACGGACATCGAGAACACTGAAAAAGCAATCGAAACAACCGTGAATATATCTAGGAAAGTTAACACTCAATACTGCCTGAAATATTTGGAAGGTTGTTGAATTTTGACACACGGCGCAATAATTGAAGTGTATGAATCAACACCTAATGGACATGAGATAATTTTGGACGGAACCTTAACAGAAGACAGAGAGAAGTTAGATTTACTGGCTACATAAGTACTCACACAAGTTTGTGCTCGACGTCACACATTCCTGGTTTGGTACGCTACATATGTAAAAATCCGCTCAGCTCAACAGTGTCCATTAGATGTCCGAAAGTTTAAATGACTTTCATATCCTAAACAGCGTTAATATGGACATTTCGGCCGACTTGAGAAGCTGACTGAATAAGCGTTCTACGTGCCCTGCTTCTTGCACACCCAAGTGCTTCGATATTACAATCATTTTTGTTTCCCCACTGATGTAGTTATTCTCATTTTGGACAAACATACCAAAAGAGCTATACCGCACTCTGTCGTGTGTGAAAGAGACGTTTGGTCGCTGGTCTAGTGGATGTTAACAGTTAAGCCGAGAGTAAAACCTGACCCGTAAACCACTCATCACCAGACGGAGAGGTTTCATCAGTGCGTGGCTCGGCGAACGTCGTCCACACTGAATCCCAAGTGGATACGCTCCTTCTTCCAAGTCATTCATTTAGATTTCAGATTAGAATTCCTTGTCCACGATATGAACCTTCAATCATAGCGTACGAAGTTTTATTCTCCATGACGATTGCACAGCTTTCAATTATCAATCACTCGGGGAACCGCAGACCACGATCATAACTTTCGGAGAAAGAGAACAAGCACTCTGGGTGCTGGCAACGTTGTGGAGTATAGGTAGCTGGGGTGCGTTGATTGGTTGTTGGTCTGTTCGTAGAGCTCGGCAGTGCGATAGCAGATGACGTCATCTCGATTGGTGATGAAACGTCTGCAATCCAAATGCCAAGCTCGGCAACCAGACCAACAACCATTCTGGCTGTTCTGCATTCAGTTTTGGTTCCTACCGATATCCAAACATTTCGCCGGGTGACGTCAGAGCATTTGCAGCCCTGCTGCACGATAACACTAGTACAGCCACAAGGGTTTCGTGCTGTTCTAAGTGCAATCAGAAATACTACTACTACCAAAATGGTAGCACGGTAAAGCTGGGTGTCCGCGTTAAAGTGTTTCTGCGTGTCATCTTGCACACTTTGCTCCGTTTGTGTGTCTGATTTTATAGCCGACTGACAAAGAAATTTCAAACAAAATGCATAACCTACGTTGTGAAACGTTATTCACATAAGTCTGGGAAACAACGTAGGATCAGTGTTCATCTTAATTTGCAAACCGTCATCTAGGAAACTAGAGATTGGCACCTTAAATTATGCTTCAATATGTCATTCCCTAAGATATCAAATCACACAATGCCTTATTTTGCCCTCTTGCTGACGATCCTCGAGTTGACAGTAGACTTATTTTCTCGCCATATGTGGATGAAAAAAGTTTTCTACCTTAGAATCACCTAAACAAGGTCGCCTATCATCCGCAGACAGCGGCAATGTTCTAAGTAACTCACTGGTTTTCAATTCACAGCGTATTATCTAGAGTTGATTGTTTACGAAACGTGTTCCCACTTCTGCGTTTGACAGAGTGCAAATTGGAATATATCTGCTGATGCGCATTATTCAGACGGCAACCCGATTTTTCCGTTAAGGAAGATAAAAAATGAAGTTGGGATATCTTCCTGAAATGATCGAAGATAGCCCAAAACTCCTGTTAAACTTTCTGCATCGCTCACCATCACTGAATGTAAACTTCCGTCTACAAACAACTTAGGAACATTGAAATAATTGTCTACACATCGAAAAAGCCTCTGTTTAGCGTTACTTCATGTTCACTTAGAAGTGTATGGCGGAAAAAGTTACACAAACTTTCCACCTTTCGAAGGGTTGACAAATAGGTCCTTAGAACTTGGGCGCGTTCTCAACTAAATATGAATGGTGCTCGCCAAATCCTTGGCCGCTTTTGAGACTGACTTCAAAAAAAATTCGAACAATCAAACTACAAAGGTTTCAAAAGTTTTCACAGAAAATGTGCGCTTTTGCACATTCAAGGAAGTCAGCTAATTGTCCTGGGTGTTGAATTGTTTTTCACCCAAATTACTCCTAATTTATTGGTTTCAGCCGTGGAGCAGATGCGTAGAAGTGAGTCAGGCACATTTGTGTGCCAGGTGGTCAATTATCTCTAGTACACTTTAATGGTGCACTTTTAATGTCAACGCATTTGAGAAGGACAACAATCTAGCAATAGTTTACAAAGAAAAACCAGTATTGTTTATATTTCATGTTCTTGTTATAAAATAGCTGCAACAGAATCAAGTATTGAGTTAACTCTACATAAATCGGTAAAAACAACTGGTAGTTATGCGAGTTTTGTCAGGTAGTCTCATTTAATTTCCGACAATCATTTGAATTATCCATCAAATTTCTTTGAAGTGCAATAAAATATCTTACATTATTGTTCTTTAAGTATAAAAGTTAGTTAAGCCACTAATTTTATAAGAGATCAAAGCCAAAATGTTCCTTTAACACGATAGTATGAATTTCATTCCCCGTGTAGATGCCTTGAATATTCAAAAATTCTGTAAGTCACTGACAGTAACTTGGGTGAAAAATATGTAAGCATATTAGCAGCTCCGGTGCCTTCATTGACTGTAAATCGGGTGGCGGCTGAAGTTTGATTTCTTAAGATTACAACCTGCCGACACACCCGCAACCCACACACCCTCAAGCTTCACAGGTGTACTTTCTACTTCGTGTTGTGGTTGAAAAACGTTTGATAAAGTGTGTTCTTTTACACCGAGCGGGTCACTTACTGCTAGTCTATACTTAAGCCTTGAATGTTAGCGGAAATAAGGAGAATGTGGACGCATAAATAAGGATGTTCATAACTATCAACAGATAGACTATGCAGAAATTGTCTCGTCTAGGGGGGATCGGGTTGTAACTTCTCCCACAATTAAGCACGGCAATCGAAGTGTAGAGTAACCCTTAGGTATGTTCACAATCGCAGTCAAATCGAAATAAGCAAAAACGACGATGTTGTGTGATGGTTTAGGAATGTCTCTAATAATGGACCCAAGAAAGAAGAATGGAACTTCCTCATTAGAGATAAATTGTAATTTGAAGACTATAAATCTGGGGTACTTGCTCAAATTGGAGACAAAAGTCGTATCCACTGGGACTGGTCAAACTGCGGTTATCATATCCAATGGAACTCTTAAATGCAGATGAGTAAATAGAAACTCACATGCAGAATACAGGGACCATCATCCTTCAACGGGCAATGAATGGCACCTTGCCACAATCGACTAATAAATCCATACGAACAACAAAAGGCATTCATCAAGAACACTCTTGCTTGTTGCATTGGAGCGCAAAAGTCAACATTTCTTTTGATCCGCGATTACGGAGCTTAAAAAGTAGGCAAAGAAACAATACCGTTGTAATACTGTTCACTATTGCAGCTCCAACTATCGCCACCGTAAATGACCAACAGTTGACACGGCAACAATCGATGCACTGCGATAAACTAATCCTAGAACTCTCCGAGAAAATCTGGAGAGCGCATCCAAAAAAATTACGTCGCTGCAACTGCACTAAGGTTTTTTCTTTTGCCTTCCCATCCGATTGCTTACACATGCTTTATAGCCAGTAGCTTTGCATCTAAATGAATACTGCTTTCACCACTCTATCTCTCTCGCTCTGGCTTGTCATTCAAAAGTGTACAGCAAAGTTTGCTTTTCAAAACACTTTGGAATAACAGCCAGTAAGCTAAAAGCAAAAAGGGTGATTTCTATACATATTCGCTGCTGTCGTTTGGTTAATAGCCTCAAAAATAACGCTTTATTCCTACAAAGAGAAATTGAAATATGGTCATCCTGAATACTACTGCTGCAACACATCAGCGTCCTCATAAACGTCAATTGTGAATTTTCACAATAAACCACCTGATCGTTTTCCCCTACCATTCGCTTTACTCCTGTTATTTAATTTGAAAATATCTTGCGAAACAGATGTCGGATCTACCGGCGCAATAGCTTGTTGATTCAAGCAATTTCATAGGATTTAATAGCGCCCTTTCTTTTAGCGCCCTTTACTTTATTTTGAAAGACAGGCGGAAATTATCCGTTTTCGTTAAAAACAGTAATTTATTGGCCTAATTATAAAACTTGCATTTTTACCTAAATGAGTTATCTCACCGACAATGCTTACTGGGACTTATGCGGTTCGTTCCACTTGTATTTGCACTTCAGTACGTCAACATGGATTGATGCGTGAGTGAAATCGACCCATCATGCCTCACTTTTGTAATTCTAAGGCTTACAACAGCACATAACTTGTTGGAGATCTTTTATTCGCTTAACTAGTTAGAAGAGCTACGGATTTCTACAAAACGTTCAGTTTGGAGATTATGGACCATACGTAATTTGCACTGTACTACATCACCATTAAGTTACCCCAGAGTGGTTTAGAGCAACAAGAAAACCAAACAGTGTCAACTGCTTGTCACGGATGATTTAAGTCATGAGCAGTCTTCAGTGAGTTAACCGGGGTGCTTGAGATGCTTGGCTTCGATTGATCATAGTACAACGGTTTTAATAAGTCTGGCACGGTAGGTAATGCGTGCTGAGTTAGTATACTCTCACACACAGCACATGTCTGATCGTGAAAAAAACACTTGATGTTGACAAAACTTCCTAGAAATTTAGGTTAGCATCAGTTCTCGCTTGCAACATGGGTCTTGGTTGCGCCTACTTTAGTTTTTTCGAATTTTGGTCAGTGCGTGCATGAATCACAGAAAACCTTGGGGATTCCATAAACGAACAACGATTCCAAAAATAGTTCGTAATTTCACAGAAATATTTTTTCCTGCAGAATAGTTAGAATTCGAAGTGGAATCTCACTGCACTTTGCGTCATGAGGAAGTCTTAAAAGACAGTTCGTTTATAGCTCTTCCAAACAAATTTACGAAACTCCAGATGAAAAAATAGTAAGAACTTTCCATCGCCATGGTTATGAGAAAGTGCTGTGTGACCAAAATACAGACCAAAAGCTGCGTACAAAAGAAAAGAGCGTCAACATCGGACCAAAAAGGCAGTAAGGCAACCGATGATTGCAACGTACTTTCCTAGATTATCAGATAACTTAATCACTTTGGCCGCTTGGATGGCATCTTTTATAATAATTCCAAATTTCTATGACACGTCGAGTTTTGACGTACAACCGGAGAGTAGAAGGAGTCCTGTGTTCAACAATACCTTACGGAAGCATTCGGTGGCTTTTTTTAACAGTTGCTTGTCTTCCATGTGTGAAACTGGAATTTCCGATGGCACTGGATGCATAACAGAACAACCGGTTTACAGAGTGCGGAGACGCAATCCACCGGCAGCACTTGGCAGACACGGCGCACGAAGTGATTCCCAGCCAATGATTCTGTGCACTGTATATGAAGCGTCTGCCGGTTTGACTTGATTAGCAAGGCACCACATAATCGTAGCGATTGAGTCACTAGCCATCTGGTATAATGGAGCGATTCTTTGTTGTTCGTCCACCGAAATTACCGTGGTCCAGTTCATCTTCCCCACACGTCCATCCGGTGCTTGCCACACAACCACTATCCAAGCTGCCCTGATAACCTCAGGTCATTCAACTGATGGCTTGAACTAGCTGTTTCCCAATAAGTATTCGATGTCGTCCCTCCCTCTGAAATTCACTCTGCTAATTACATTGTGCTAATCTGTTAGCAATGTTGTAAAATGTAGGTAGCTCGGGTGCTCTGTTTGGTTGTTGGTCTGTTCGCCGAGCTTGAGAGTTGGATCGCAAATGCTTCATCACCAATCGAGGTGACTTATTCAGCGGGTCACTCACCCACTCAACCCTGCACTGACGATGTCACCTCGATTGGTGATGAAACGTTTGCAATCCAACTGTCAAGCTCGACCAACAGACCAATAACCAATTGTGTTAATGTTTCCCGTAATAGTCTGTGGAAAACTTGAACAGCTCATACTTGTTCATATCCGTAATTTTGTACGGTTAAAATTCGCATTAATGGGCCGTTTACCCAACGCAAACTCTTGCAGATATGACGATGATCTATGGTATGTTTCCCCAAAAAGAAACGGTTTGGTTATCGCTTATTTCGCGATTACTTGCAAGACAAATACATCCTACACTGAGAGCAATTTCAACCTCGATTTTACAGTTTTTAAAGCAAGTACGAAATCCAAAAGTGGTTGCTTTTTTTCCTGAGCACCCCGGGGATCACAATGGGACAATCCAACAGTGCGTTGATCAGGCGCTGGCCTTAAAGAAATGGGCGTTTGTCAATCGTTAACGGATGTAAAGAGTGAAATATGGATTGAAATTACCAGTCCTAGCATACACAGCACATTTTATGGTGTTGCTGATGTAGGACTGCTCGATGAACCTCTTCAGCCCTCTTTCTGAAGTAGGTAACCGTAGATATAGTGCTTAAAATCATTCTCCTTTTGTGATGAAAACGTTTCTGATTTGTCGCTGGATTAACGGTGCCTCTTCGGTCATTGCACAGTTCACAATAGCACCTTGATGTCTCCGGCATCCAGCTAAAATGGTTCTTGAGCAACTGGTTAGATGGACAAATTAGTGAGGAAAATATTACGCATAGAGATGGTCAGGAGTGAAGCACATCATGGGTAGATGTTGAACATGATAAGCACCTTGCTGATTGTGTCCGTGACCTCAGTAGTTCGTAAATGAGGATCGCCCACCTCGGTACCGTGCTGAAACTTCAAGATGTTAAAACTATAAAAATATTGTTTTCTGATGCTACGAGGTTAACGAGAGCATTACAAGAGACTTGAAGAGAACGATCGGTAGTTGGAGACGAGGCAGAGATATTAAATATTTGTGTCTAGAGTAAGAAGAGAAATGTGACCACATATATGTCCCTGTCATGGCTGTTTATAGTTATAGAATTCAGAATAACGCAGTACGACTTTCACCGTTTCATTCCAAAAACTGTCAGACAAAAGCACATGAAAGTTATTGGTGATTCAGTATTCATCATCAAACCTCAACTCATCGTGTGGATGATCTGAGGTTCCAGTTTTGTTACACTGCGTTCTTGTTTATTACGAAACGCGTCTGTGTAAATTTAACGCCTACAAATAACATTTTTGCCATAAAGACAGAGAAATTTACACCAATTGCTGCTGTTTTTCGTTTTGGGCTTTCGGGAAAGGCCTGTTGTTTTCTCGAAGTTGCCGTACTATCTAAAAGTGTCTTCTGTTCATCCCAGACCCATGCAGAAACACACACAGCTACAGTGGCTGAAGGCGTCGCCATCCGATATTGCTGCCATTTTATTGTCGATATAACGCCTTCAGTGCAGGAGCAAACATGGTCAACCTCATCCATGCATAAACGAAGACCGTGTAACGAGGGCATTTACAGTAGGCCTACCTTGGGAGAACGAGACCATAGAATTAGTCCTTTAAAACGTCTAAAGTTTCACTGAACCTAATAACATTACGAACTGCGGCTGCTTCGCATATGCCTTGAAAACAAACACCTGTTAAATTACTTTTCACAACTTCTTGAACGTCTATTGCAAGGCTTTTAAAGCGTTATATTTACATGTATCGGTTTACAACGAAGTAAGCTACCTGAATGGAACTCCCTGGTGTGCTTCTGCATGGAGTAAAGGATCCATAACATTGACTGTGTAATCAGCATGTGATTTCGTCTCCGATTGCTTTCGGTTTTTATTTGGGATGGATTTAGAGTGACAGTTCCCTGGCATCAACTCTGAGATTTTACCATTTCACAGAACAATAAATTCGGGTAAACGAAGTCAGCACAGTATTGGAGACTTTCATTCCAGTTTGGAGACGTTCTTATTGTCCGATAGTGTTCCGGCGTTTGGTATAGATTAATAGCAAAGCGATTAGAAAGTACTGGACCCCAGTTTTGCTCTCAGCTCAGCAGCATTAAACATTCCCGGCCGTACCAGAGCTTGAACTCCGCGAAAGCGGTATTGTTGATCCACCCGCGAACGTCGGACGCGTCTGAATTTTCACGTCTGACTAGGCGAATGTGTGCAGGCTTTGGTGGCGTGATTGGTCTGCTCGACTGCTCGAACGACGATTCGGTACTTATCTTGGTTGTGACGACCGATTGACCCGCCTTTCAGGAATTCCCAGTAAGGTAATGCCACGGGCGCTTCAAACCTGCCGGGCAACGTTTGATTTTGTTGTTTTCGCTGGTTGCAGGATCTGTATTGTTCGCATTCACATCACTCCCATTTGAAAAGTAATCCTCGCGTAACTACTCTGGTGAGTTCACAACAATTATGAGGAGCACAGGACTCGAGTTTTGCTTTCATTAGATCGTTGCAATCAAACCAGGTAGGATCAGGCATACCAATTCTGTCGCTCAAGCGTGAACACGTCACCTGTTCGGAAGCGTCGAACATGCGTTGGTGGAGTAGTGGCTCGCTTTGTATGTCAGATGTCCAAGGGTCATACCCCGGCACGGCCAAAAATGAGTTCCAATGAGAAAGGAACTCGAGTTCAGTGCTTCCCTCATTAGGTATGACCTCACCAGAATACATACGCCAATACAGAAGAACGACCTTTCAAGCGAGAGTGATGTGGATGCGGACAGTATGAATCCCGCAATCACTAAAAGCAACGAGAACTAGAAAGTTAATTTAGTCTCCTTATTAGCCTTCGACCTGCCGCATGCAAGCTTTACACATCTGCTAAAAACAAGACCACTGTGAAGCTAGTTTCAGCCGAGCACATGTGGAAACTTAGAAGTGGTACCTAGGGGTTTAGTCCCCAAATCTGCAAGTACTTGCGTTCAGTCCAGTAGTACTTTACTACAAGATAAATCTACCAGAATAAGCTGAACGCTACCGGCCAAGCTTTGAATAGCTTGTTTCTAGATGGCTACTTACAACGTCGCATCAAGTTAATAAAAGTTATCAATCTGCTTATTTTGGCTTTGAAATCTCCGATTGTTTCATGTGGACAGGTAAATCTGCATACCCTATGGGAAAACGCCATTCAATCCATTTTCAGTCTATTGATGTCTAATCAGCTGGTTAGTAGAACAGAGTTTGCCACCAAAAATTGACTACTTTATTAGAGAAGTGAAATACAACCCTGGGGTACACAGTTTCCTTCATCAGTCAGTACCTACTACTGAGGAAAAAGCGCCGCGTTGTGACAAATCCGCAAATGCTTGGCCGAACCTACATGGTCGAAGAATATTCGTCAGAGTATGCGAATCAGATGCGAAATTTCACGTCATAGGCGAGTTTATTGGCAAGCTGGCCCATTTGGTTAGCAAACATTTCCTACGTGCAGGGCCAACGATTCGTTTACAACCCCAGGAGCGTTCGTCTTAACAAAGCGTTTCTAAACGTCATATCTGAAACATTTTGACACCATGTAATTGGGTCTGACAAATGTGGGAATGGAATGACAAAATACCACCTGTTAACCTGGTTTTCCATATTGAGCGGTCAGTCCGAAACCCACCACACACTTTCGCACTAGCTCCTGAAGGTCATGTTTCTGTGTTCGTTTTCCGGAGCACTTGCCAGTGGAGAAAAATTGTGAGAAGGCAATTTTCTAGGTGTCCAATCAATCCACATATCTAGTGTGTACTTGCCTGATCTACATGCATGTATACGTGTACAATTTTTACTACATGCGAATATCTAGCTAGTGCTTTACGGGTTATCTAAACAAACAGTGAACTATGGCATGGAGGGGAAACCAGGAGTGAAGAAAACAGACTTTTGGTTGAGTAACATAAAATTGATATCGATAAATTGGTAATTGTGATTTCCAGCTCCACATATTATCAATCCTTTCAATCCGTGTGAAAACTGTAAACCATAGAATAACTCATCAAGTATGAGCCGATGTCACTGGCCAAGGTGACAGTAGCGGAAACGTAAGCAGTATAGTTAAATCCACGCGTCGTTGTTACAAAAGACACTGAATGCCATCATTCACAGCTAATCTAAACCTTAGAATCATTCTAATGGTCACCTTAGTTTCACTGGTTAACCTCGTGATGATCACTAGCACCGATCCACTTTCGTTTGCTCCATTTTTCGGAAGCGAGCAAAAATGTGAATGAGTTGACCTAAGGGGAAGTTAGCAAAGACTTGCCAACGTGTGCCAGCAAACAAAAAATGGAACATGATGTTACTTAACGACCATTCTTACTCGAAATTAGGGAAGCCCTCAGAAAACTGGAAAACATTGTGTATTTGGGCGTTCCCTTTTTCAAGAGGGTTGTGGAATTAAGTTCAGGTCACAACCCAGCATAAAACGGCAGGGTACTTCCTCAGAAATTTTACGATATCTAATTTACCTTGTGTTGTATGTGTTCTTTACACTTTGAAAAGCGTTTCCTTCCGAAGAACGTAAGCTTAACTGAATTTGTACGACATAATACGATTCTACTCACATTATGAGCACAAGTAGACGATGATTTGAATGCATAATTTTTAAGACATTTCTTAACCGGGTATTCAGTTGAATTTCTAAAGTTGTCTGACGTGAGAATCACACACTTCGTACAGTGGCATCAAATACAAGAAGAATAAAACAAAGCCAGCACTCCAGTTTTAATAGTGAAAGGAAGACGGCCTTCGATGCGGAGTTACTTATGAGAAAATGCCAACTGAACAGTTGCGGACTATTGGACAGAGAAGCAAAACTCTCATGTGCATCTTGTTTACAAAAACTGCATATCCATCCTCTCTTTGAACGCGTCTCCCTGAACTTTTCCGGATATGCATTGACTGTTGCTACAAAGCGAATCCACCAATTTTGTAATATATCTCACTTTTCAAGACACGCAAAGCGGATTTACGAGCAAACATACTACTCGCATCCTCCTCATCAGTAGTATTACCATTAGAATTCTTCCTCAGACGTTATACAATATCTAATATACCTTGTGTTGTATTTGTTCTTTACACTTCGGAA